TGTAGAACTGGTGTGTAGGTTTTGGCATCTTCAATGTTACCTGAGAAAATGCGGGGAGTTTTATGGACCCTTTAGCTGCCCAGCTTCTCCGCCAGTCAGTCTCCTTTATGCCCCCTCTACATGGCCTAAGTTTTAAAGCAGAGCCTGTTTTAAAAAGAGTCTCATAACCATCCTCAAATGTTCATACTTCTCAGGAACAGCAGAGAATTTTTGGGGGTTTTTTTTGTCATGAAATATGTAATCAGTACACTCAGTTTTCCTTGAGAATATCTTCTGTCTTAGATTGGAAAGGAAAATAACCAGAAGCAAGGAGAATTATAACAATAGTTTATACATGACAAAGATTTTCATTTAACACAAACTCTAACTGAGAACTTACTATATTGGAAGTATTAAAAAGCAGAAGTGGCATCCACTTCCTAAACAGCATGGCTCCGGAAACTGTATGAACTTTGATAAAAGTTGATGGTTGTAGAGGGGCTTCAGACCTTTTGTTCATACGGTCGACTCGAAGGCAATCAACAATACAGCAGCATCTAAAAAGTTATTGGTAGTATCTAAAAAAGATGGAACATTGTTCCTTACCTGAAGGTGCCTTTGATTCATGAGAAGAATCAGACATAAAATACCAACTGAAATGAATAAGGCAAAGGTAAGGTGATGTTAGTAATGGTTAACACTAGGTGCTTATGCAGCCGGCTTTGGTTGAGGGTACATTGTAGGAATTGTTTGATTCCGTTCATGTTACAAACTTGTGGGGCAGAATCTTTGCTCTCCTTATTTTAACACAAAGGAGCCCTGGTGGTTTAGAGGGAAGGAGTTGTGGTGCCAGCTCAGAGGCACATGATTCAGGTCGGCCAGCTGCTCTGCGGGAGAAGAATGGACAGTCTCCTCCCATGCCATTTACAGCCTCAAAAACCCGCTGCAGGGTCGGCTGTGAGTCAGTTCTGACTCAACAGCACACAACAGTAACATTTTACAGAAAGGGAGCTCTGGTAACCAAGTGTGTGTGGAGTTACGCTGCCAGTCCAAAGGTGCAGATGGTTCAGATCTGCCAGTGACTCCTCAGGAGAAAGAGGAGTGCTCGCCTCTCTGTAATTTATAGCTTCTGAAAACGAAGTCAGCCGGGAGTTGGCTCTTAATCAAAGGGAATGACTTGTAGTGATTTTTCAGAAGAAAACCCAGGCTTACAGTGGTCAGGTAACTTGCACTAGAGCTCAGCCTCTAAGAACTGAAGGCAGAGTCTTGACCTCGGTCATGTGACCTCAGGTTCGGGGCTCTCTGCTGCAGAGCCTGTGTGCCTTGGAAGGGGTTCTCCTGCCCTGAGCACTGCTGTGGAGTCCGCTGTCAGCCTTTGTCGGGTTTCCAGGCTGTAACTCTTCACAGGATGAGATGTCTCCTCTTTCTCCAGAGGAGGGACTGGTGCAGCCCAGTGTGTACTGCACTCCCTGGCCCCAGGGCTTTAGGAGGTGTCGAGGGCTAACGTTGAACACAGGGCATAGGGAAAGGAAGAGCTGACAGTGGCCGAGGCCTGGAGACTGGATCAGTGTGTGAATGGTGGTAACTTTGACAGAGAATTGGATGCTAGGAGAAGTGACTTTGGATGGGAAAGTTATTCCTTTTTCTAGCATGTTGAGATTGAGAAATAGCCCATAGGAGAGACCCAGCAGCAGCCAGAAATGTAGTTTTGGAAATGAATATTTTGTTGATTGTTGTTGTTGTTATGTGCCATCGAGTCGCTTGCGACCCATAGCGACCCTATGTACAGCAGCCCTAAACCCTGCTCTATCCTGTGCCAATAGCACTGCCTCTGACACACCCATCCCGATTACCCCAGTCACTGAATCAATCCACCTCATAGAGGGTCTTCCCCTTCTGTGCTGTCCCTCCACCCTACCAAGCATGATGTCCCTCTCCTAGGACCTGTCCCTCCTTACAACATGTCCAGAGTATGTCAGATGAAGCCCCAGAATCTTTGCCTCCAAGGAGCAACCTGGTTTAACCCTCTCTAGGATGAATCTGTTTGTTTTCTTGGCAGTCCATGGTACATTCAGTACTCTTTTCCAGCACCATAGCTCAAAAAGCATCAATTCTCCTTCTATCCTTCCTAGTCATTGTCCAACTGTCTGATGCATAACAAGTGATTGCAAAGACCATGGCCTGTATTGGGCGCACCTTAGTCTCCAGAGTGACACCATTGCTCTTCAGTACCAGAGAGGTCCCTAACAGCAGACTTTCCCATATAGCGATACATTTTTTTTATTTCCTGGCTACTGGTGCCAAGAGTGTTGACCGTGGAGCCAAACAGACTAAAGTTGTTAACAATCTCAAATAGTAATAATTGCTTATGGTTTTTTTTACTAAACTATGTACTAGACGCCATCTCCCACACTTCAGTGTCTCAACTTCCTCTGTTTCACAGATGCCAAATAGTAAATATGAAACTTGTCCCAATAAAAAAAAAACCAAACAGTAGTTAAGGGACTTTTGATGGCCTAGTGGCAAGAAGCTGCACTGCAAACCCAAAGGCTCAAGGTTCAAATCCACCAGATGCTCTTCTGGAGAAGGAGGAACCGTCCGTCTCCTGCTGTGCCAGATGGCTCTGACTCAGCGTTACACAACAAGAAATAAAAAGGAAAAAAAAACAAAACAAAAACAGTGGATGGTGAAGCCAAACTGGCAGGCTGTGTCCAGAGCTCCTCGTCTCTGGGACTTTGTTATAACTGCTTCCCAAGGTGGCATCCTCTCAGTTGGTTCAAGTGGGAACACATTGTGCATGTGATTTTTCCAGCAAGCAGTCTTGTTTTTAATTTCTTAATCACAAAGATATAATATAAAGCACACAAAATGGTAAACATTGTAAATAAATGAAATTCACACCTTTTGAAGAGTAAACAACTCAGAAAAATTATTATCACTTACCAGAAGCATGCAAGTAGAAAGGTATGTGTTCTGATTAAATGTGAATGTGCAGAGTTATAAATTTCTCATGTAGTTCTGTTTGGAGGTGGAGTTAGAAAACCAAAAGAGCTGAAAGAGCCGGAAAACAGACGCATGCCTTGAGCTGCAGTGCGGAAGGTTTCTATAGACGAGATCTTCAGTGATGCAAGAAGCTTTGAAAGAAGGTGGCAGGAACATGCAGAATCACTAAAGCAGAAGGATTTGGTGGCTACTGACCCATTTCAGGAAGTAGCATATGATCAAGAGCTAGTGATACTGAAGGAAGAAGTCCAAGCTGCACTGAAGGCAGAGGCAAAAAAAACGACCCTAGGAACTTAGGGAATACCAGCTGAGAGATTTCAGCAAACAAATGTAGCCACAGGATTGCTCACTAGTCTGTGCCAAGAACTCTGGAAGCCCTGATCTTTGTTCTCATTCCAAAAAAAAGTGATCCAACTGTGTGAAAAATAGCAAACGGTATCAGTATTATCACATGCAAGTAAAATCTTGCTGAAGATTATTATTAAATGACCTGAAACAGCACATTGACTAGGAACTGCCAGAAATTCAAGCTGAATTTAGAAGAGGCCATAGTACGAAACATGTATTTGCTGATGTCAGATAATGTGCAACATATAACTAAAAGCAGAAAACTTGAGAAAGCTGTTTTGTTGCTGTTAGATGCCATCAAGTCAAGGACAGCGCAGCCCTCTGAACAAAAGAAAGCTGTTTACTTGTGTTTTATTGGCCATGCAAAGACAATTTTACTATGTGGGTCAAGTTACACATTTGACAAGTTATGACTAGCATTGAAAAGAATGGGAATCCCAGAACACTTTAATGTGCTTACGTGAAATTTATACGTTTATCAAGAAGGAGTTTTCCAAACAAGAACAAGACAAAATTGGCATGGTTTAAAATCCGGAAAGGTGTGGTTCAGGGTTGTCTCCTTTAAATCAATGTGCTGAGCAGTTTGTTAGCGATATTGGACTATATGAAGAAGACTGTGGCATCAGGGGTGGTAAATGATTCGTCGGCAACATGCAGAAGGCACAATCTGACCTACAAAAAGTGAAGATGACTTAAAGCACTCACAGAAAAAGATAAAGCACTGCATTTTTCACTTGAGATTTCATGTCCACATCACAAAAACCAAAATCCTCACTAGTGGACCAGTAGGTAACCTCATGATAGATGGAGAAGAGATGAAGTTGTCAGGTTTCGTTTTTCTTAGATCTACTCTCAACACTCATGGTAGCAAGGGCCATGAAATCAAAAGGCATGTTACTTAGGAAAAATTATTTTGTCAGGAACCTCTCCGAAGTGCTAAAAAGCAAGCATATCATATAAAGACTAAGGTATGCCTGATGCAAGCCATCATATTTCAGATGCTTTGTATGCATCTGAGAGAAAACCCAAAAAGACTTCTTTTTAACACACTGTGAATATGTTATTAGGAAGGATCTTACCTAGAAAAGGCCATTATACTTGGTGGTGGTTGTTATGTGCTGTCGAGTCACCTGTGACTCATAGCGACCCTATGAACAGCCGCCCTCAACCCTTTGTTCTGTAGCAATCTTATTGTTTCTAACACCCCCCATGGCTCCAGTCACTGAATCAATCCATCTCATCGAGGGTCTTCCTCTCCTGTACTGTCCCTCCACCCTATTTGGTGGTAGGTCAGCGAAATAGAGGAAGACTGTCAGCATGCTAAATTGGCATGGTGACTGTAGCAGTGGACTCTGACAGGACAGCAGCCATGAGGAAGGTGCAGGACCACACTTTGTTCAGTTGTACAGAAGGATCCAGCTGAACAGACTTAACAGTAGCATTAAGGAGAGAAGGTCTAGGTGATTTCTTTAAGGTTAGGTATGAGATGGGTTAGGAATAAAGACGGGAAATCTGCAAATTTATCAGAAATATTTTTTCGTCAGAACAGTTACCTTCCATGTCTACTCCAAGTTTTCTGTTGTCTGATTCAAACTGCCACGATGAGTGAAAAAATCAGCGTGCGGGGGTGCATCTGAGTGTGACCTGAGTTTGTCTCCTCTCCTTTCCAGGGAATGGTGGCTGTGTCCGGCAGTCTGTCTGTGCTCCTGGATTCCATTATCTGTGCCCTTGGCCCCTTGGCTTGTCTGACCACACAACTACCTGAATTGAATGGCTGTCCCAAGCAGGTCTTGGTGAGTTTGGGGAGGCCCTGCCCCGGGGGGAGTCAGAGAAGCCCAGCTTTAGGTGAACACTGTCAGGCATAGGCTCTCAAGGCTTCATGGCACATAACACTCCGTTCTGGGTCGGCCTCTGCAACCTAGTGCTCATGTGCTGCTTTAATGTTTGAAAGCTTGGGAGCATGACATTTCCTTGACGTTTTCCCCACTAAGAGTAAGTGAGAAAGCTAGCAGAAAAGATCCCAGCATAACAGGCTACAGAGTACTCCCTTCATTCTCACTCTGTGATAACTCTTCTTTTCCTTCCTCATCCCTGTCCCCTCAGGGACCCAAGGTACTCTTTATTGACCCCGTTTCCTTGTCTTACAGGCCAACACGCTAGACAACATTGCTTACATCATGCCTGGGCTCTGACAGCAAGGACTCATGGGACAGAAAGCTTATCCTGCCCCAGCGCTGGCGTGCTTCTATGTGACTGTTCCAAATCCCTTCAATGGCCTCGGTGTAGGTTTTAAATTTTTATATAAGTATATACATATATATATATATATACACACACACACACACACACATAATGTACAATATATACATAGGGCTTTACTTAGCTTTTCATAATTTTGCAAAATTGCAAAGGTTTAGCCAAGAGGAAACTTTGGAATGAATCTGAGCTTGGGGTTCTTTTTCTCCTGTGGTGGATAAATCTGCCTTAAAAATCATTGGAACTTGACGGCTGGGGGCTTGTTCCGAGTGCCAAGTGCTTCTGTTTATGGACTACAAAAATGTGATTTTTTCCCCCCTTTAAGTCGGTTGTACCTCCAGACCATCACTGACCATTTGCCTTACCTGTCTTAATGTCTGAAATGGAAAAGAAAGGGAGTTACAGGAAGATGGCCAGCTCAGTGCAAGTTCAAAGCCATTCACCTTGAAGTGGCATATGGAAAATGATAACAGTTGTTCCCACCGTGTAGTTACCGAGATGGCTTACGTGACCTGAGTAGGGAGTTCATCCCCAATGCCTACCACACACTTGTCCATGTCTCAAAATTCATCGTAATCATCGGTACATCTGGCAGCCTCAGTGGAGGCCACGGAGTCCCGGGAGCCCTGGCAACATCAGATCCTTGGAGAAGGTAAAGCTGCCAGTGCCACCAGTAGAACTATTTTGATTCTGAGCTGACCCGGAATATTTTGGTCTGCAAAACTTAATTGTTGGTATCTCTGCTTGGTCAGTAGGCCATTGAGTCTTCTTGAGCGCAGCCGCTTGATGGCTTGGTAGTTGTGGAAAGTAAGCCGTGCCCAGTGAGCTTGTTGGGTTCTCCTTACTGGTGTCCCTGGTGGGCAGATGTGGTGTTCTGCATTCCACGTAGAAGGGAATTGCAAAGAATGTGCTATTCTTATGGAGGTTTATTTATCTCTGTCTCTGTGTGTGTGCGCGTGTGTGTGTGTGTATGTTGATTGTGTATTTAATGTTTTTTTAAAAAAAAATCTGATTTTAATTTATCCTGTAAATGTCTGTACATATAATTTAATAACAGAAGTCTCCACCAGCAGCAGCATGTGGAAGATACAGATTTATCATTTATTCCTTCCTTTCTTCCTCTGATCCACTCTGAAAACTCCAGATCGTCTACATTTTAAGGCATTCTGCCTCTAAAAAAGAAATCATGGTGTTGGAATTTGAATTCTTTTAAAGACCTTTATGGCCTTCGCTTACATCAAGGAAGTACTATAAAAAGTAATATTACTATTCCCAGCCACCTTTAACTCCAAAGAACCAGACTTTTGCTGTTGGAGAGAAGACAGCTGAGCACTTCTGGGTGTTTTTAAATGTGATATGAGATTACCTGCTGGAGCCCAGCTCTGAGGTAACTCTGCTTCCTTGGCCAGGCCCATACGGGGACAAGGCAGCCAGCCTGTGTCCTATAGTGTCCGTTCCCCAAAACCCCCAGTGTTGTCACAGGGCTGTTCAAGGTATCCTGGCTGTAGAATGCCTTCCTCAGCTGGTATTTAACCGAAGAAACAAAGCCGGAATCAAGAATGTTTGGGAACCAGAATCAAGAAAAGCCAAAATCTTGGCTTGATTTCTTAAAGTCGACCTTCTTCCCACACCTCATCAGTACCCATGGAAGCTGCTCATTTGGCACAGGGTTTCAAGGAAGGGCCTTGAAGACATGCTTTACCACAGGAAGAAATCAGCCCTCCCATTGTCATTTGTATACTTCCATAAAATCCTGATGAGGACTTTTTATTTGTTTTCTTTTGAAACTCAACCTTACTGTATTTGTATTTAAAATTTGTACACATTTGTATAATAATCTGTACCTCTTAGCATTTGGTACTATTAGAGAAATAACTTTGGATTCAGACCTTCTTGCAGTTTTTTATACCATTGTTTTATTTTTGTTTTTAAATACTAGTGGTTTGATCCAAATACCATTACGGTTGTATAAAGAAATAAAATTTTGTACTTATATTATTAAAAAAACACATTTTTAGTATTTCAGTATCAGCTATGGTTTTTCTGCTGCAGTCCAAAGTTATAACAAACTTATAAAACTTCCATTTTCACATTATTTTCTAAAAAAAGATGCTATCTGAAATAGAGACCCAGGGTCTAATCTTAGCCATATTCCTAACATAAACCTGCCTCTGTTTGTATTAATTTTTTTATTCTCATTTTCTTCTCTTGCATCTTGCAAATCTGAGAACTGTGGCTCTATTCATCAGCAGATGTGGTTGTAGGAATGTTACAATATCGGCCTAAATGAAGAAAGTATCCATTAATCTGTGTAAGAGTTGATTACATCTGAATCATGTGTTAAATCCATAGTTCATGCCGTTTCAGCCCCATCCTGACTGAGTGATGTTGAGCAAAACCACTTAAACTCTATAAGCTTCCAACTTTCAGCCCATAAATGGTTTAACATCACCCCCTGTGATGCCTGCAATCAGCCGTAGGACATGGATACTGCAAAGTATGAGCATCACACATATGGAGATGTGACCTTAAGATAAAATTACCAGTGCAGATGCATAGCATTAAAAGGTATAAATAGTGAGATCATCTGATTGGCTCAGAGGCTCTCTTAAGGGAAAGTCAGCAAGAGACCATCACATAACTAAAGTTGTTGTTGTGTGCCATCACATTGCTCATAAGAACTCTGAGCAGCCTTCCCTGTCCTGGACCACCCTCCTCATAATCTGATAGTGTACAAGCCCATTATTACACTCACTGTATCTGTTCATCTTGTTTGGGGTCTTCCTCTCTTTCTGTGACACCCCACACACACACCTTTCCAAGCATGATGTCCTTTTCTGAGGACTGGCCCCACCTGAGAACATGCCCAGAGGATGTGAGGCCAAGTTTCACCCTCCTTGTCCTTAAGGAGCACACTGGCCACACTTCCTCCAAGACAGACTTGTTTATTATTTTAGCAATCCCTAGGGATTCCTCAACTGTCATTAGACCAATAGGTAATGTCATGATAGATGAGAGAAATGATTGAAACTTAATAACTTCATCTTACTTGGATCCACAGTCAATACACTTGGTATCAGCCATCAGGAGATCAGGAGACATATTGCACTGGGGAAGTCTGTAGTTAGAGACCTCTCTAAATTCTTGAACAATAAAGTCAGTTTGAGGGCTAAGGTGTGCCTTCTGAAACTTTTCCGTGTCGGTCAATTCTGGGCGGTGACTGTGTATTCCCTCCATCTTTATTTGATGCTTTCTGGGTCATTCACTATCGTGCCCATAGCATTTTTCAAGCACTGGTTGCAGAAGATCAAAGAATGCAGCCTTCAGTATGGATTGCATCTCAATGTCAAGAAAAAGATTCTTACCACTAACCGATAGGCAGCGTCATGATGGATGGAAAGGAGATTGAAAAACTATCAACAACTTCATCTTGCTTGGATCCACAATTAGCACCGTTGGTACCAACAGTCAGGAGATAAGGAGACACATTCCACTGGGAAAATCTGCAATTAGGGACCTCTCCAAATTATTGAGGAGTAATAATGTCAGTGTGAGGACTAAGGTGCATCTGATTCAGGCCATAGACTTACCAATTACTTGCTATAGGTCTGAGACCTAGACAATAAATAAGGAAGATGGAAAAAGAATTGACACCTTTGAGCTGTGATGTTGGAGAAGTGCACTGAACATCCCATGGATGGCCAAGAGAATAAACATATTTTGGAGAGGGTGCAGCCGGAGTGCTCTTTGGAGGCAAGAATGATGAGGCTTTGCCTCACATTCTTTGGGTATGTTGTTAGAAGGACATGATGCTGGGAAGGGTGGAAGGTCGGTGAAGGAGAGGAAGACCCTCAGCCAAGTGAGTTGACATGGTGACGGTAATGGGCTCTTGTGTGTCAGGAAGTGTGAGGATGGCATAGGACAGGATTCAGATCTTTTGTTCATAGGGTCGCTATGAGTCGTACTTGACTCCACAGCACCTAACAACAATAACAGTGCTAGACAACATTTTGCTGCCTCGTAGATCTAGACATAGTATCCCAGACCTTCAGGAACATGTAGATTTGTAGCAAAAAGGGCATATATTAACAGGTCTCATTGTGTCCTAGTGCTAAAGATCTGTGCTGCCAACTCAGAGGCACTCAGTTCGAATCCACCAGCGGCTCCATGGGAAAAAGATGGACAGTCTCCTCCCATGCAGTTTACAACTTCCAAAAACTCACTGGCAGTCAAATATGAGCTGGTTCCAACTTAAGGACACAATAATTTGTTTAAAAATCAATGTCATCAAGAACTGTAATGACTAAAGCTCCCTGCAGTAGCCCAAACTACTAACGGCATAGTATAATCTCTTTAGAAGAAAATGGGAGACCATAACCAGCTGGATCAGGGACGTAATGTGTTGGCAACATCTGAAACACGGCTCACAGCCAAGAAGGTTGAAGAAAACAGCAACATCGCCAACCTGAGAGGAGTCTTGTGAGATTGTGAACCGAGGATCTGCTTTTGTACCTCAAGGACACCACAGACTCCCTTAATTTGTAAGAAATTCTCCCTTCTCAGAAAAGCTCGAGCTCAGAGTTTATTCAAATTCTCAAGGGAGCCTGTGACCCAAAAAAGCGTTAAGAATCCTTGATCTAATTCCAGCGTCCAGGGGACAGAATGAAAGCTCACGATTTGGATCACCTGGGAAATCACTGGAGGAGAGCGGTCCTGGGCCCTTCTCTTTATTTAGATCGTGTGCCTGCTGCCACCCTACGCTCCTGGATGAAATGCATTGACGTGGCTCCAGGGCCCATCGGGGGTCCTAAACCCACAGCCCAGGCTTCCCTTTTGAGGAAAGTTAATGTGGATGCAAGGCGCATCTCGAAGCTGGGGGGACTTCACATTAAATTAAGGGAGGCCTGTCAGGCGGGAGAGAAAACAGCAGTCAAGTCCGGGGCTTAACCCCAGGGTTAGGGTTAGGTGTGTGGTCTGAAGGGTGACAGGGCTAAAGAACTAAGATCTGTAGTCTGTGCTCGCTGTGCAACCAATAGCCAAGTCACTGCCCAAGTCTGAGACCCATCTTTCCAAACATAACATGGACCTCCAAGCTCCAGGCGGTAAGAGTGGGGGCGTGCCTGAGAAGGTGCATGTCTGGGGGCGAAGGGGGGGACCCGCTCTGCCAGCTGCGTCATATGACGCAATGAGGTCACCACCCCAGCTCGGCGCTCCAGCCCCTGGCACGTCAGGGGCGGGGCCTGTGGGCGGGTCCCAGGTTTCCCTCGGCCCCGCCCCCGCTGGCGTCTCCTCGCGGGCTTCCGGCGCGTCACGTGACGGCTCGGAGGCGCTGGCGGTTGCTGTCAGCTGATTCTCTCCGGGTTGGAGGCAGTAGCGGCGGCTGTGGCGATGGACTTTCTCCTGGGGAACCCGTTCAGCTCTCCGGTGGGACAACGCATCGGTGAGTCCCCGGAGCCTGTCCCAGGCCTACGCCAGCGCTCCGCACCCGGAGCCGGTCCCCTTGGGGCGCCTTCGGGTCCCCAGTCACTGACTGGAGGGAGGTTGGGAGGAGGAGGAGGCTGGCGCGGCTCTCAGCGGCCTTGCTCCGCCCAGGCGCCCGCCCCCGCTTTTGATTGACAAGGGCTTGGCCCATTAGGGAGCCTCTACTTGTGATGGGTCCTTACTGCAGCCAATGAGTGAAGAGACAAGGCGGGCCCGAGCCCCACCGCTCAGCCAATGTGTGTGTGCTGGGGTCCCGAATCTAGGCAGAAAGTTTTCGGGGTTAAAGGGACTGCGCCCCTTTTGCATTCGTTTGCGTCGTCGCTTCTCTAGCAAGGGTCCCACCCGTCTTTTTGCTGTCTCTTTCCCGGCTCGTTGGGTTCTGCAAACACTGAAACCTGAGATGAGTCCATTCCCCCCTAGACTGGCGAGAGGAGGGCGTAGGGTCTGGGCAGGTGACTTGCAGGGACAGGGGACCCTCCTCGTCCTCGAGCCCTGTAAGATCGGGGTGGTCAAGTCACGGTGACGCCCGCACGACCCCGAGGACAGGCCTTAAAGACCCAGGTTGGAAGACCTGTTTGTCTTGGCTCCTTTCTGTCTGCGATTCGCAGGAGCTTTGGCTGGAAAGTGAGCTTAGGAACCACCTGACTGCCTCCCTGGTTTCGCCGTAGGTGGAACACCCGCCGCGCGCTGGCTGGAGACACGCAGCCTAGATGGAGCCGCCCGGGGCCTGCCTGTTTGTCCTTGTTCTTGGCACCCTGGTGACTTTCCAGATCTGTGACTGGCCTCTCCGTGCAAGGGAGCTTGGCGCCCGGGATATTAGGGTGTTCCAGATGGTGTGTGCGCCGGGCAGAAGGATGCCAGTGTGTGTCTGCTAGAGGTGCCTCAGAAGAAAGGCCTGGTGATCTGCCTACCAGAAAATGAGCTATTGAGAACAAAGCTCTCATCTTGATATGCATGGGGTGGGCTTGAGTCAAAGGGGGATTCGCAGCAATTGGTAATAGGCGAGTGATGGACCTCGACTTGGGCACAGGGCTGTTGGAAGGATTAAATATGTTAGGAACTATAAAGAGAAGAATGCCTGACATATGGCTAGTGCTAAGTAAGGAACAAGCTGTTAGATGTGTTGTCATTGTTACTGAGTAAGTCCAAGAGAGGGTGGGGAATCTGGAGAGCTTGTAGCTCTGACTTCTTACACCCAGACTCGGGGAGGCCCAGGGCCAGGTCCTTTGGCTGCATGAAGAACCATGAGACAGTACCGGGGAAGTGATCTCTTCGTTTGTTTAGCTTTTTATTGTGATTTGCGCAAAAACTAACAGCAAATTGGTTTTCCATTCAACCCTTCATACTCATTACAGACCCCACAGTGTAACAGCATTCCTCCCTCTCTTCTTCCAGTGGGACTTGTTCATTTTTCTGTCCTCTCCCTCTCTGCCTTCTGAGCTGCCCTTTTTTGATCTTGTATGGTTGGTTGTCTAAGGAGTGAGTAACCCCTCTGGTGTTACCATTCATTCCCCACATAGGCCCATCTACTGTTCGGTGGAAAGCCACTGGGGATGTCTCTGTATCTTTTTAAAATAGGGATTCCACGTGATATCTTCATCTTTTTGATGACTCTTAGCCGGAAATCCAGACTGGGATCTTTAGGAAAAACTTTCATTTCCTGCTTTTTTGAAAACCAAACTTCATTGAAGTCAGTTGACCCAGTCCTCCTGTGACTGTTTGTGGTCTTCTGAGGTTTCATAATCAGTTCTGCCCAAGAGGGGTGTGGTAGTCCAGATTATGTACAGGCAAGCTCCTGCACCAGCCAGGAGAAGCTACCCCTGGGAGGCCCACCTCCAGCAACACACACACACTCTCACACTCTCATATTCTCATTTTCTCTCTCTCTCTCTCTCTCTCTCTCTCTCTCTCTCTCTCCTACACACACACACACACACTATTTCTTCTACTACAGTCACCACTGCTTTTACCACATGCTAAATTTGAAGCTTTCTCCTGAAAAAAAGAATGATGAGACTTCTCACATACTTTGGCCACGTTGTCAGATGGCGCCAGTCCTTGGGAAGAAATAAACCATTCTGGGGGTTGTAGAGGGTCACTGAAAGAGAGAAAGACCCTCAGAGAGATAGTTTGACAGTGACTGCAGCAGTGGCCTTGACCATGGTGAAGATCCTGAGAATGGAGCAGGGCAGGGCAAGGTTCAGATCTGTTGTTCACAGGGTCTCTGTGAGTCATATGCTGGATGGCACTTAACAGAGACTTGATAAAAGAGGAGGGAATCTATGCCTCATGGCCAACCACATATTCCTGAGGCTTTCTGAAAAACCCATCTGGGCAATAGACTGGTCAATGAAAATTCTCCTCTTCATACACTCAACAATCGCCTCTCTTGGGCAAGAAATACTTGGGTCCAGCGATAATGTTGCTAAATCTTACAAACCAGTTGTACCAGGGGAGGAATCCTTCCCTTGGGAGATCATCTGACCCTTGGTTTTCTGCAGAACCCCCCAGAGGGCTTGTTAAAGCAGTTGGCTGGGCTCCATCCCCAGAGTTTCTGACTCCAGGTCTAGTGTGGAGCCCTAGGATGATTGCTAATGAGTCTCCAGGTGAAGCTGACGCCGCCAGTGCCGGGACCACGTGTTGGAAAACTCTGTTCCAGCCCAGCCCCTTCATTTTCCACGTGAGGAGGTTGGGGCTCAGAGACGAGGTGGAGACAGTGCGTCACCCGAGTCGCCAGTGAAGTGATAGTAGCGCTGCTATGAACTCCCCAGAGCCATTGACATCTGAGCTACAGCTGAAGAGGCGCTACAAATAGCATTAGATAAAGAATATGAATGTGCAGTTTGTGTTAATGGCCTTGGGATTTCATATTTTCTTTTCAGTTAAGAGGCAGAAGGCTGTGATTCCCTGTGTGGGACCTTACATTAGCTGCTTATATGTTTCTGTATAGGGAGCTCTGAGGACATAGGCTGTAGGGTAGCCACGCTCCTAACCCAAAGGACGCACCTCTCCCAGTTCAAGTCCCCCAGTGGCTGTGGAAGAGCCTCCTCCCAGGCAAGTCACAGCCTCTGAAAACCCCCTGGAGGGTCAGCTAAGAGTCATTTCAGACTTGACAATGAGCTTGAGTTGGGTTTTTTGTTTTGTCTTGGTTTTTGTTTTCTTTACCTTATATTTCTGTAGACCAGACCCCTCATTACTGCAGGAGTAATACCATCTCTTTTCAAACCTGCTGTCGCCTTTCCCCTTGTGGGCTGAGAATAGAGCTACATAGAATTGGCATCCTGAAGCACAGTGAGTTCTGTGAGGGTGCTTCTGGGTGATGGTGGGTCTTGCCCCCTGAAGCTCTTGACCCCACATGTTCCTTTGTGCTTGCCCATCCCTCGGCCTGGAAGGTCTGCTCGAGCCACTGAGGGGCTCAGCTTCACCCATCCCAGGATAGGCCAGTGTCACCCCATCAGACCCAGCCACTGCTTTTTCCTGCACATCCGTCCTCCTAGCTGCCCTCACTGAGTGACTAAGTTCTGAACTTCAACTTTCTCCCGTGTTTAAAAAAAGATGTCACCAGGTCAAGTCTGACTCAGAACAATCCTGTAAGATTGTCAAAACTCAAATCTACCGTAATCTTTCTAGAAGCACACTGCCACATCTTCCTCCCACAGAACGGCTAGTGGGTTGGGACTGCTGACCTTTTGTTCAACAGTCAACAGCACTCCCTTCCTCTCCTGTAACAAGGGTACTAATGGCCAGCTCGCAGGGTGGTCCTAAGGATGAAGTAAGGTCCTCCCAGGAGGTCATCCCGGCGCTCCACAGCGTGTGCTAAACACTGGCGCTTGTCTTCTCCATCAGCTTCATTTTGTTGTTCCTGTCGCCGCAGTACGAGGGCTGGGGCTTAATGGTAAGGAGTTGTACTACCAATCCCAAGGCAGGCTGTTTGAATCCACCAGCTGCTCCTGAGGAGAAAGGCTGGAGCAGTTTCCTCTCATGTGATGCACACCTTCTGAAAACCTGGTGGAGGGTCAGCTACTAGTAGATTCCAACTCAGCGGTAACAGGAGCACATCGCATCAGCACAGCTCCTCCCTTTCTATTACCATGCCATGGATTGAATTGTGTCCCTCAGAAATACACGTGTGTAATGATGTCATGTGAAAATTTTGTAATAATAATCTCCCGTAATCTGGTAAACCAAACAATTGTTAAAGAATTAAAGGTGGATACCTTACCCAACGTCATTGTCAGTGGCTTGACCTCTTTTATCTCACAAGACAAAAGGACAGAAAGCAAGCAGAGAAGGTGCACCGTAAACTTGGGCGTCTAGCCTTCCAGAGAGTATATTTCTATTTGCGGAATCCAGCCATTTGTGGTATCTCTTATTATAGCAGCATTTGTAACTGGGGCTTGCTAACTGTACCCCTGTCCCCACAACTAGACTGGACTTGAGTAGGACTGTACCTGATTTATCCAACCCAAGCGCCTAGCTTGGTGTCTGCCATGGTGGAAGGGAAGGGAGGAAAGGAAATCACATTTGTGAGCAAATACTATGTGCCTCATCCTATGCTGGTATCCGGTACTAGCCTTTCCTTTTCACAGTGAACTTGTACGGTTTTTACCCATTCCACCAAAAGTAAATCTGAGAGAAGGTATTCCTTCCAGAGCTTCAGAGCTAGTCAGCATCGGAGCTGGACTCAAGCTCAGGACTCTCTGCTCACAGGGCCCTAGACACCACCTTGGGCCCTCATCCCTCTGCCTTTGGCCCATGGGTGCTGCTTTGGAATTTCCGTTAGTGCAGCCTGCCGGCTTCACAGTTTCCAGATGAAGTTGTACACATATTGTTAAATGCCATCGATGCCATTCCGATTCGGTGGCAGGATAGAACTGCTCCACGGAGTTTCCAAGACTCGCTCTGCTGGCCTAGTGGTGAGAAACTGTGCTGTAATCCCAAAGGCACATAGTTTGAAAC